TGCGGATTTCGCCTTCCCATTGTTGCGGGACTTGTTGTTGCTTCGCGGCTGGACAACAGCCACCTGATCTCCGTCACTTGATGCTGGAGTCGCTGCTGGTTATCTCCACTGTCCGACTGCACTGCAGCAAAGTGCTGCTGTCGCGGACCAGTTGGTACCTTCTCCACATAGGTCGACTGCCATGTTGATTTCTCGTGTGCAGCTGACCTGTTGGTCTTGATGATCTCTCTCGCCTTTTCGATAATCTCGGCGAAAGTGAAGTACTGCTCGCGATCACCAAGAGTCTGGCTCAATGCCGTACAGGACCTGTTGTAGAACTCGCGGCGTAGATGCGTGAATGCCAATTCCAGATTGGGCACCGCCGCAATCTTCTGCCACTCCGTGAGCCAATCCCGTGTTGCAGTGTTGCCCTGTGACATGGTGAACAGACGGTTGATGGCGAGTGCCGGCGCGTCGTCGACGATGAACCGCTTCTTCCACAGCCGTGTCAGTTCCTCCCATGTGATTTGGTCCTTCAAGTCTGGTACGTCGACGCCGTGGGAGGTTGCCAGGTGGCTAAACCAGGTCTGGCATCCGCCCTTTGAGTTCAGGAATAGGGTGCCGATGTACACATGTTTGGCTACGGGCAGAATCCTGAGTTGCGCTGTGAATGTTTTCCACCAGAGGACCGGATCCTGCTGCGTGTAGTCGCGAACTTGTCCAGTTGGAAAGTTGGCATCTTGTACATCTTCGGATTGTCATCCGCGTTCGTCGACTGCAACTGCTGGACCTCGGTCTTCAAGGTATGCAGCTGACTGTTGATGGTGGTCGGCGCAGCGAAGGTGCTGATGTCGTCGAGCATTTCCACTACGTGGTCAACGCGTTCCTCTAGTTGGCGGCTAGAGGATGCACTGCTGGAAGCCCCAGCATCTGGTCCTGGTACAGCCTTCTCCAGGTCCAGCATTCGGGCATTGAGTGCCCGAGTTGCGTCCTCGTGGCTCTGCACTATGCGGCGGAGCTTCGCCAACTCCTGATGCTGTTGCGTCAGGTTCTGGTACTGCTTCTCCAACTCGGACCGTTGGTAGTTGCAAGCACACAACAACCGTGTCACGAGTTTGGAGAGGAACTCCCTATGCTGCTCTTCCGGTGTTGCCTCGTCGCCGTTCGGTTCAAAGTGCCAAAACTTGAGTCTGCCGATGCTGGCTGCTTCATGCCGCTGCAGCAGATCCTGGGCTTCCTTGCGGTGAGCCTGGGCATCTGCGTCTGCTTCGGCCTGTAGCCGCAGCTTCTCTACTGTTGCCGCTTCTTCAGCCTGTAGCTGGACAGCCTTGACTGCCAGCTGGCGTTGTTCCTCAGCCTCGATTGCAACGAGCTGAGCCTGGAAGCGCTTTTTGTAGTCGGCAATGGGCTCATTGGCCAGTTGGCCTGGCAGGCCCATCATGCTGCTGACGTGGCACTGCTGACGTGGCACTGTGTCTGATGTGGCACTGTGTCTGATGTGGCACTGCTGACGTGGCACTGCTTACGTGGCACTGCTGACGTGGCACTGCTGACGTGGCACTGCTTACGTGGCACTGTGTCTGACGTGGCACTGCTGACGTGGCACTGCTGACGTGGCACTGCTGACGTGTCACTGCTGACGTGTCACTGTAGCTGACGTGTCACTGTTGACGTGGCCTGCTGACGTGGCCTGCT